TTTTAGCATACAGCATATGTTAATGTGATGCTATTCACATAGATAGTCCTATCCATCTTAAACAAAGCTTCCAAGAGGTGGGGGAGGGGGGAGAAACCCTAATGCTGGTAAAATTTGATTTACTTCATGACACTTAAAAATAAATAAAAAAATAAGTTGATAGCTACTAATATTGCAAGAGTCATGTTACACCTGGAAGGTTGTTCATATTTATATACATTTTCAGATGGACCTGTTTATTTTACATGATAGTCTTAGAATCACAAAAGCCTGAAAGAATTCTGGATTTTAACTCCTGGCCAAAACTTCAAAATGCCTTTAAGAGCCAGGTTGCCAAAAATGTTTAGTTGCTTCCAGACTTCTAATATTGGCATCAGTAGCAGGGCCCAAAACCAAGGAAGTGCCTAATATTTTGTAAACCAGTTCCCTATTTTGAATGTTTTAGGATTGCAATAGGAACAGCATATTGAATATGCATCCAGAATTCAATTTCAAGCCCTAATATTTAACATCACTGTACAAACACTTAGAATTGTGTCTGATGAAGTGGGCATTATGCTCCAATACATCTGTTAGTCTTAAAGGTGCCACAGGACCCTCTGTTGCTTTTTACTTAGAATTGGGTAACTGAGTGCCAAAATTTAACAAAATCAATATTGTATAATATATTAATCACAAAATAATGAGTTATTAAAATCCTACTGAACCTATCCAGATTTGTTGAGACAAGAAGCTTTTATAGCTATACTCACGTAAATTGCTGGACACAACACATGCTGAGAACAGAAGCTCATTTATTAGATTAACAGCAAAAAAGTTCCAATTAATACATGAAATTAGATAACCCTGTTTCATCCTGAAGATATGCTCAACTGCTACCTTAGCTTGCTACTGTAGTGAGGAATATTAAATGCAGCTTTCACTTCTCCTTGTCTTTTACTAGCTTTTTCAGTTTTACACTCTATTGGTAGACATTTATTATCACCACTTGATATGCTTTAAAGAAGTGGGTGTGCATCATGTGAGATATGCATAGATGTTAGTGCCTTGTATAAGGTGTCACGGCAACTCAATCACAGAGCTGGGAAGAGAACCCAGGACTCCCAACTGTTTTGTATTGTAACTAACAGACAGTTTTTCAACAAACACATTATTGGAGAGGTTAATAGCTTGCCTCTGCTTGCCACGTTAGCAGCAGTATAGGGATCAATACCAGTCCCTTACTCTTACTCAGAAAATAAGGCTGCTTTAGCCTACTGACTTGTTTTCCATTATTTAAGTGTAAGACGATACAGGAAAAACTGAATTTTGCTTGATGTTTAGACTAGCAAGGAGAAGAGAGTTCATCTCTGCTAACGCAGGACTTCTCTGCAAAAGAATTACCACTGCTTTCCAGTCTAGATGTCATCTCTGGTGGTATAACGCTTTCCACTGACACTTCTCCCTGTCAGGATGTTTCCTGATATTCAGCCTCAATTTCTCATCTTAATTCCATTACTCCTATTTGGAACCCCCTTTTAAGACCTATACAATTTTAACTCCATGATGTTTATCACTTAGGTTTTTTTCTCCCTCTGTATCAACTGTTCCTCCCCCTTCATATGGCAAGTGTTTTTTACTGAAGTTCAAAGCTTGGACATATCTACCTTGACCTTCTTCATTGAATAAAGCCTGAGTTCTGGAAGGCAACTTCAGCATCCCACCCTTTGCTTGTCAAACTCTTCCACTATTTGTATATTCTTCATTTTCTATGACCAACAGAGCTTTACCGAGGAAAGATGTTCTAGTTATTTTATCCTGTGCTCACTGCATTTAGGTGACGGTAATTTTACCCTGCAACTTCAACTCCTGTCCTCTGCCCATTAATCACAAACTAGCTCTTCATATCATTTCCATCTGGGCTATGTACTTAGGAGAAAGCAAGACCACCCTCTGAGTTTTTAGAGTACACAGAATCCAAAATTCACAGATACAGTATTTCTGTGCAGTCTTTTCAGAGTTTCAAATTCTAATCCCCAAGCATCTCCAATTCAAGGTGATTATCCCAATTTCATAGGGACATTGAATAAGTTTGACTAACTGAGCGAATTCAGTGTAAGACAGGGAGAGGATCTTACCCCAACTTGTTGTTCAGCATCTGGTAAAGAACTTCCCACACATTTGAGATTTCTTAAAGTGCAGGAAGAAGAGCAAATGTCCATGAGTTAAAATTTGATTTCAAGCATCAGCTGCATTTTCTACATCATTAGTAGCACAAAACTGAATCAGGAGAAGCCTGTCCCATATTTAGGAACTCCAAGTAGTGTAAAGGCTACATGTTTTGAAGTTAGAAGGGAAAGAAAAATTATGCATTGGCACGAGAGGTTTGCTACCTTATGATGTATCACAAAATTCTTGACTTGTTGCATAAGAACGCTGAGTAAAATAAGTTCTTGTGATTATCTCATGGCGTCTTGTGACATATGACA